AGGGAGTTGCTGGAATTATAGAATTGGCCCCAGGTTACTTGCCTGTTGTTTATAACACCATAAAGAAAGCTGGAGGTCTTTGCATTGCTGATGAGGTCCAGGTTGGGTTTGCTCGCACAGGGAGCCATTTCTGGGGATTTGAAAATCAGGGCGTTGTTCCTGACATAGTGACAATGGCAAAGGTTAATTTTCTCTTTTTCTTGGTTATAAAAATGTACTAGCTACCTCCCTTTGCTCGATATGACAATTGTCTTATTGTGATGGTAGCTTTTTCCCAATCTTGGTTTCTTATTCTGGATTATGGCCGGAGATAGGAGAATCTCATGCCAACCGTTCTATTTGTTTTAAATTCATAAGCAGTGGCGGATAAACTAGTAGGCTAAACAAGTACATTGTTGAAAAGATACAAAGTCACATGCCTTGCTATTGTTAGCATTTTGTATAACAAATTGAATGATGATTGAGATAAAAATTAGAATAAGTCACCATTATCTATTTTCACTTCAACAGTTAAAGGTAATTGTATTAGTTTCATACAATACAGGTTAGCCTTGTCTTAGAAGCTGGCCTACATATAGCTATAGAGTGCATTGGAAATAACATACCTCCCCATTTACTTCTTCCGTGTTAACATGTTTCTTTAATTACATGGACAGGGCATTGGAAATGGCATCCCTCTGGGTGCTGTGGTAACCACCCCTGAGATTGCAGAGGTCTTGACCCGCAGAAGTTACTTCAATACCTTTGGTGGGGGTCCTGTATGTACTGCTGCAGGGTTAGCCGTCATGAATGTAATCGAAAAAGAAAAGCTTCAGGAGAATGCATTTGTTGTGGGGTCCTATTTGAAGGAGAGGCTAACTGCACTAAAAGATAAATATGATCGTAAGCTTATCCTTTCTCCTGTTTATTGAGCATTAGACATTCTCTTGCCCCTCCTTACTGAGAAAGAAAACCAACAGTAACTGGCATTGCTGACTGTACCATTTACGGAAATCTGCAGTTATTGGGGACGTGAGAGGAAGAGGATTGATGCTTGGAGTTGAATTTGTCACTGATCACAAGCTCAAGACTCCTGCAAAGCTTGAAACTCTTCATATAATGGACCAGATGAAAGGTTAGGAATCTTCCAATCCCCACAGGAATCCTGCCACGGATTATACTTGCTTCAAGTTACTAATAAACCGATTTTCTTATTGTAGATATTGGAGTGTTGGTTGGGAAAGGTGGATTTTATGGCAATTTATTTAGAATTACCCCTCCTCTCTGCTTTAACAAGGAAGATGCAGGTCAGTTGCTCCTCTTTGATGATTCTTATAGCAATTAGCTCCCTTGTGTTTGTAATGCATATGATTCCTGGTTGCAGATTTCCTTGTAGATGCGATGGATTACTCCATGTCAAAGATGTGAAGGCTCCAAATTCAAATGTGAATAAAGATATCTCTATGATCATTCACAAGTTGTTCTAATCAGTGCTGTAATCAGAACATCCCCTATTGTGAGTGAAAACTATCAATGCAGATACAGATTTCTTTCTTCAATAAGTTAAACAGACATTGCTATGGTTTTGAAAAGCCATGAGTCCACAACTGGTTGTCTCTTCAGTTGATGAGTCAACAACTGGTTGTCTCTTTGTTCAAACTCTCTTTAGTTGAACTAGTTGCAATAAGAGTAAAGTTTGGTGAGTTAATTTTCCCTTCTCTCCCTCCCGTTTACTTAAAGAAACGGTTTGAATTGCCCTCTCATAAACACTCTTTTTCGCACGCCACAAAAAATATTCAAGCCACGGTTTCCACGTGAAACTTGAGTTGCTTGTTCCATGTGTTTACTCAAGTAGACAAATGAGTTGCTTGTTAAATGCTCAACCATTTTCTTCGGCAAATACGGATCCTAAACCTAAAATACCATGAATAATTTACAAATAAATTTATATTTTTCTTACATATTTAGTTAATTATTAAAATAATGTACTTAAAAAATTAATTGAATTTAAATTTAAAACTTAAGTCAGTTTATTTATAGAATTACCTTTAATAAATAATATTTAATATTTTTTAAAATTTTAAATTTTAATATTTTAAATTTCTTTTTTATCTTTACATTATGATTTTTTTTATAAAAAAATTAATTGAGTTCCTTTAAAACTTAGTAGTTGTAAATTGGACGCCACACGCAAAGAAAAATGGTAAATCTTAAATAGAGTAAAAATACTTTGATAAATTTTTTTTCTAAATTTGAATTCAATTTTTTTAATTCTTAATTTACCATTAAACCTTCTTGCCTTATTATATACCTAACTGAAAAAGATATTATATATCTAAACTCTCGTAATCATAATCTTTAAGTGTCAATTTTAATGACATCTCAACTCATTCAATAAATAATCGATTGGATCTGACATTTTAAGTAAGATATACATGTATCTACCTCAAGTAAAATGCTTTAATACCTTATTTAGATTACTTATAATATTATCTAATAAAATTTTATATTTCTTTTCTATTGCTCTTCATTTAATATTCCAAAAAAGAAAGAAATCATATGCACATATAAAAAAAAAATCTAATGGTTTAAGGGTTGTTTGTTTTTGTTTCCATCTTTTATTTTTTGTTTTTATTTTAAGTTTTTTTTTAAATTAAAAATAAAAATATCTTTCATAGATTGTTTTTATTTTTTATTTTTGAAAACTAAAAAAAAAAATTAAAAAAAATTTTGAAAATTGACATTTTAAGTAAGATATACATGCATCTACCTCAAATCAAATGCTCTAATACCTTATTTAGATTACTTATAATATTATCTAATAACATTTTAAGTAAGATATACATGCATGTACCTCAAGTCAAATGCTCTAATACCTTATTTAGATTACTTATAATATTATCTAATAACATTTTAAGTAAGATATACATGCATGTACCTCAAGTAAAATGCTCTAATACCTTATTTAGATTACTTATAATATTATCTAATAAAATTTTATATTTCTTTTCTATTGCTCCTCATTTAATATTGCAAAAAAGAAAGAAATCATATGCACGAAATAAAAAAAAATCTAATGGTTTAGGGGTTGTTTGTTTTTGTTTCCATTTTTTGTTTTTTGTTTTTATTTTAAGTTTTTTTAAATTAAAATTAAAAATATGTTTCGTAGATTGTTTTTATTTTTTATTTTTGAAAACTGAGAACAAAATTTTGAAAAATTTTGAAAATTGTTAAAAGCACAAAGATGATGTTTTCAATTTTTTGAAAATAATTTGATTCTGTTACCTCATGAGTACTATTCACAAAAATTACAATCAAAACTGCTATGGTGATGCTGCAATTATTATATTAATAAAATAATATTTTTATTATATAAATAATATATTAATAAATAAATAATGCATTATATAATTAATATAATATATGATATTAATAATATATTATTTATTAATATATTATATTAGTATTTATATAATATTATTTATTAATATATTATTTATAAATAATATTATAAACATATAAATAAATAAATAATATTATATTAATAGATATTATTAGATAATATTATTATATTATTAATCAAAAATAGAGTCTAAAAACTTTAACCATTTTCTCTTACATATTTTTATTTTCACATTTTTAAATTTAATAAATTAAAAATAAAACAAAAATAAAACGAAACAAAATTTTTAAAAATATAAAACACACAATAATATCAAACAATCCCTAATAATCAAATCTTTCCCTAATCACATGGGTTATACTTTATTTTCATTTTACTCTCAATTTTTCTGTTTTTTTTTCCATTTAGACAATGGTAGTTTTATTTCCATGAATGGTATTTCTTTATCATGTACTTTTATATAATTCTACTATTTGGTTTTAATTTTATTAACAAATGAACGACAAACAATTTTAAGATTATTATTAAATTTATTAATCAAAATTATTTACAAATAACTATTTAATATATCATTGTGGTGGAGTTTTATACTCTATCAATAGAATTAGAGGATTAGCAACGGATAATACAGTAATACTTTATTTGTCCCATTTTCTCTCCCTATTTGAATTTCATATAATCAAAAGATTCTGTATTTTAATTTAAAATTAAAATTAAAATTTTTTCGTAAAATTGACGTACAAAGATTTTTAATGTTAAGAAATAAAAAAAAAATCTTGAAAAATTTTTTTGAAATATCAGAAGTAAGAGAATGTCAGCTCCTTTTAATATTCCGTACAAAATGACTTTAAAAAAATAATTTTTATAGTTTTATTTAGCAAAAATTTTATTGAATACAAATTGAAACAAAAAAATAATATTTTAATTTTACTTATAAAATTAAAAAGGGTTAGTATTATAAGTGAACTTTAAATTATAATGGAATTCTTAATATAATACTTAAATTTTAAAAATATTTAAATGATATTTAAATAATTAATTTATTAATTAATATAATATTTAAAAAATTATTTATTTTTAATATGTCATCATTTAAACCAATTACGTTTAAAGTTGATATCATATTAATTAATAAATTAATAATTTAAGTATCATATTAAAAATTTTAAAATTGAAGTACCATATTAAATATTTTATTATAATTTAAAAATTATTTATAATATTAATTTAATTTAAAACTACATAAATAATAAAATAATAATTTATATAAAATATATTAAAATCTTAACTAAGAAAGGAAGGTAAAAAATTGTTGAAAGGTGGAAATTTTGTTTATTTTTTAATGTAAAAAATTTATGAGCTTTCCATTTTCTATTTTTGGTAAAAACAGAGGACACTTGTCAAGTTGTCTAATAAATTTCCAAAAATTATGAGACCATGAAAATTAGATATGTCGTGGCACTGCTTCATTGGACAGCTAATTTTAATCCATCTAAGAAGTCAAAAGTGTAATTTTAAAGATAAAGAGGGGCAGTTTTAACCTCTTCCTCGACCCAAACAAACTAACAACTCAAGTACACGTCAACAAGGAGTCTCTTGCCTATATTAATTTTCCCTCCTCGGTCGTTTCTTCCAAACACCAACTCCTCTGTCTGCTTTAAAATTGCCTCTTTCCTTACAGCATTAAATCCTCCAAACACAGTCCTACATTTTCGGAACTGTTTTTTTTTTTTTTAGCTTAGCGGCGGAGATGAAGATGCAGAGATTTATTCCGGTGAGCAGTGTCTTGTTGGAAACTAAATATTCTCTGCGATGGTGGCAACGACAAAACCGCTGCTTCTCTCAGGTGACTCGAAACGAGGTTGATGACAAAGGTGGAGTTGTTGTTCCAAAAATGCCCCCCTTTGATTACTTTCCGCCTCCTTACACCGGTCCTCCCGCCGCTGACATCCTCGCCAAATACAAGGAGTATCTCAGGCCCTCCATGTTTTACTTTTACAGCTATCCTGTGAGTTTTTATTCTTTGTAACACTCGATCCATGGAGTTCTGAGATACACAACGAAAAATCAAATAAAATTAAAAAAAAAACTTTAATATGTGTTACTAAGAATCAAAAAAGTGATACTTTTGATTTTTACAACGTGTTTTTTTTTTTCATGCAAGTCATATTATTTTTATTGTAATTAAAAATAATGAATATTTGGGTTATTTTTTCCAGCTGAACGTAGTGGGTGGAAGGATGCAGTATTTGTTCGATGACAAGGGAAGAAGATACCTAGACGCATTTGGAGGGATTGCTACGGTAAGTTGCGGCCATTGTCATCCTGAAGTGGTCGACGCAATAGTCAACCAAACCAAGCGCTTGCAGCACTCCACTGTCCTCTACTTCAACCATACCATCACTGATTTCGCTGAGGCCATTGCCAACAAGTTGCCCGGCAATCTCAAGGTCATTACTCTGCTCGTTTAACTATCACATCATCAATGGTTTCCATGGCTCTTTTGTTGTATTACGAATATACCCTTGTTTTTGCTTTGAACATTAATCAACATACAAGTGAAAATATGAATACCTCATTGTTTCTTTTTTCATTATTCATCAATTATAGTTGATAGATTTGCTTGCAAGTTGGATTTTTCAGTTTTGTTTGTTCTTTTTTGCATCTTAAATTTGGGTTTCTGTTTTTGTGGCTGTGCAGGTGGTGTTCTTTACAAATTCAGGGACAGAAGCGAACGAGTTGGCGCTGATGATGGCAAGATTATATACTGGATGCCATGACATAATATCATTGAGGAACGCGTATCACGGGAATGCAGCAGGGACCATGGGAGTCACTGGCCAAAGTAACTGGAAGTTCAATGTTATACAGGTATGATGCACATTTTTATTTCATATTCCTGAAATTTGATGCTGTTATTTGTTCCTTGGATATCATTTAAATTTACTTCCAATGTTTACTTACCATAGAAAACTTTGTCCATCATAGGTATCATGTTTTGAGGAGATCATTTATCAGAGTGCCTAAAATGCTAAATATATGCAAGCATTAGTTCCTTTTATCACATGGACCACGTTTGTTTTCTCTTACACCGTGGTCCATAAATTTTGACAAGGAGTAGCTAGCGAACCATGCACGTGTTAGAACGTGCACATATATGTTCTTGTGTTTTGATGATATGCAAAGTACATACAACTAAAATCAAATCAACCTAATTCTCTAAGCATGCCCAAGCTAGTCCTTATACGTGTTCAATGCCTATAACCAGACGTTATTGCAACCATATGCCTTATTCAATCTGATGGATAAACCATACATTGGGCTTATGTGCTTATCATATATTTTAGAAACATGCCTTTTATCATTTGAAATATACAAAGTTTTGGTATTATAAAATTAAACTTAACATTTCTGCATAAGTATAGCTAACTCATAAGTATGTTCATCAGAGTGGAGTTCATCATGCCTTAAACCCAGATCCATACCGAGGTGTCTTTGGTTCTGAAGGAGAGAAGTATGCAAAAGATGTCCAAGAACTTATCCAGTTTGGAACTTCTGGCAACATTGCTGGTTTCATTTCTGAAGCTATACAGGTAGTCACCAATATTCAGCATCACCTTCAATTTTGACTTCCTTCTATCAACTTTCCAAGATTTCCTAGTGAAGACAACATTACCTAACATTCCTTCTATTTTTTCATTGACAGGGAGCTGCTGGAATTATAGAATTGGCCCCAGGTTACTTGCCTGTTGTTTATAACACCATAAAGAAAGCTGGAGGTCTTTGCATTGCTGATGAGGTCCAGGTTGGGTTTGCTCGCACAGGGAGCCATTTCTGGGGATTTGAAAATCAGGGCGTTGTTCCTGACATAGTGACAATGGCAAAGGTTAATTTTCTCATTTTATTGGTTATAAAAATGTACTAGCTACCTCCCTTTGCTAGATATGACAATTATCTTACTGTGCTGGTAGTTTTTTTCCCATCTTGATTTCTTATTCTGGATTGTGGCCAGGGAACGGAGAATCTCATGCCAACCGTTCTATTTGTTTTAAATTTATAAGCGGTGGCAGATAAACTAGTAGACAAAACAAGTACATTGTAGAAAAGATACAAAGTCACATGCCTTGCTATTGTTAACATTTTGTAAAACAAATTGAATGATGATTGAGATCAAAATTAGAAAAAGTCACCATCATCCATTAGCACTTCAACAGTTAGAGTAAAGGTAATTGTATTAGTTTCATACAATACAGGTTAGCCTTATTTTAGAAGCTGGCCTACATATAGCTATAGAGTGCATTGGAAATGACATACCTCCCCATTTACTTCTTGCGTGTTAACATGTTTCTTTAATTACATGGACAGGGCATTGGAAATGGCATCCCTCTGGGTGCTGTGGTAACCACCCCTGAGATTGCAGAGGTCTTGACCTGCAAAAGTTACTTCAATACCTTTGGTGGGGGTCCTGTATGTACTGCTGCAGGGTTAGCCGTCCTGAATGTAATCGAAAAGGAAAAGCTTCAGGAGAATGCATTTGTTGTAGGGTCCTATTTGAAGGAAAGGCTAACTGCACTAAAAGATAAATATGATCGTAAGCTTATCCTTTCTCTTGTTTATTGCGCATTAGACATTGTCTTGCACCTCCTTACTGAGAAAGAAAACCAACAGTAACTGGCATGACTGTACCATTTATGGAAATCTGCAGTTATTGGGGACGTGAGAGGAAGAGGATTGATGCTTGGAGTTGAATTTGTCACTGATCACAAGCTCAAGACTCCTGCAAAGCTTGAAACTCTTCATATAATGGGCCAGATGAAAGGTTCGGATTCTTGCAATCCCCACAGGAATCCTTCCACGGATTATACTTGCTTCAAGTTACTAATAACCGGTTTTCTTATTTTAGATATTGGAGTGTTGGTTGGGAAAGGTGGATTTTATGGCAATGTATTTAGAATTACCCCTCCTCTCTGCTTTACCAAGGAAGATGCAGGTCAGTTGCTCCTCTTTGGATGATTCTCATAGCAAGTAATTTCCCTAGTGTTTGTAATGCACATAATTCCTTGTTGCAGATTTCCTTGTAGATGCGATGGATTACACCATGTCGAAGATGTGAAGCCTCTAAATTGAAATGTGGATAAAGATATATGATCATTCACAGGTTGTTCTATCCAGTGCTGTATCAGAACATCCCCTATTGCAAGTGAAAATTATCAATGCAGGTATAGATTTCTTTCTTCAATAAGTTAAACAGACATTGCTATGGTTTCGACAAGCCATGATTCAACGATTCGTTGTCTCTCCACTTGATGAGTCAACAACTCGTTATCTCTTTGTTCAAACTCTATTTATTTGAAATAATTGCAGTAAGATTAAAGTTTGATGGGTTAATTTTCCCTTCTCTTCCTCCCCCTTACGTAATCGAAAGAAACGGTTTGAATTGCTGATATTATCTTCATCCATTTCAATCAAATTAGTTGGAAAGAAAAGAAAGTGTGAATAACGAGTTGATCTCTTCTTTCCCTTCCTTCTTTCCATGCCTGATAATGGTTTAGTTCAGGTACAGGAATTGTAATAAAGAAGAAAAGCATAATGAAGGAATTTTTTTAGGAAAAATGAACGATATTGTACTTCATACTGGATATTGATAGCGAATCGTATGCATATGGCTCGTCTTTGCTTAACTTAAATACTAAAATACATTCTATCTTCTTTGTCTTCATGTTACTATAGCTTATATTATATAACCTGGCTGCCGAGGCCGTCGTCTCAAGTTAAACAAATCTTGTTGGTGCAATATATTAGTCAAATCAAAATCGATTAGAGATGGATTTATACTCATCTAAACTCCAACCTGATTTCTTAATAATTTCATACAACTTCAGGTTTAAAAAGAAATCATAATATCTTCGACTTGATTTCGATTTTCCAAAAAAAATTGTTCTTATCATATTAGGACAAGTCGATATGCATTATTTTTTCATCCCTTATTTGTATAATGTAGCTATAAAAAAATTAAAAACTGAGCAGAAGATTTCATCTCAGAGATGTAAAATAAATCATAGGATGAACAGGCCTGGAATGCTCTATGAGATAGAAGAAGAGAAGAAGACTATATTTATCCTATTATTATGTAACTCAAAACAAAATCCTCAAGTACCAAAAGACCAAGCACAAGAAAGACAAAATAAAGTACTATGGGCTCTCTATTCATATGCCATCTCACTTAATCGCTTTGAGGTTGATAATAACGTTTCAACGAAAGGTGTTGAATTCAACATTATTTACATACATAGAACACTCACTAGTGTTGTATTTTACTTTGTTTGCATTAGTATGTATCATTTCATTCATTATATTTGGAAGTTCCATGTTATGCTATATTTCATGTTTTACATAAATGGATGGTAAAATCTACTTTATAATTAAAAAATTATACTTGCCTAGAATTTTTTATGTTCTTAGTAAGTCTAATAATGGATGGTTAATTAGATAGACAGTAAAACTAGAAATAAGAAATAAAAACTATTCTTTGGTACAAAGTAAAACGAGATATGAAGAGAATTGTAAGAAGAATTTGTAAGTGTTGGTATCGAAATCTAACCTTACTCAAATCTAATTCATAAAAAAGGTGAATGAGCCATTTAAACTAAAACCCAAGTTCAAAAAACCATATTTAGATGCTCGGAATGTTATAAACAATCATGCATAACTCGTCAAAAATTTACTCATTTTATCTGAGATCGGGTAATCTTAAACTTCGAATCTTTTTTGAGTATTTCTTAAAATTAGATTAAAAACCCTGATTGGATTCGAAACAATGAACAAAAATAGAGATTGTTAACAGATGAATCTTGTGACATTATTAATCATACATAAATCTGCTAGTCAAAGCAGAATTTAAACCGACTCAAACTGAGAATATCAGGTAATAAATAAAACTAAGAAGAGAAAAACCAGAATGAACTCAAAATTGAACATTCTTGCAGCAAAAAGAAATAAAAGCAAAGAGGACCAATAATTTTCATGTTGGAACAGCCATTGAAGAGGGCATGGGATAGTATCTCCTGTACTGATTTGCAGAGGGTTGGCGAGCCATCAAGCTTGAGAATCTGAAGGCTGACATGAGAATGTAAGCCAAGTCCATGAGCAAACATGAAAGCTCTTGGAACATGCTTATGCTCTTCCTTAACATCACACTCATCACTACCGAGACTGTTTGCTCAAATCTAGGCATTTCATTCGTTGATCTGGGGATGAGAAAATTTCATACTATATATTGAATGTTGCATTTTTATTTTTAAGTTCTTAAATCAAACATGGTTTCTCTTGTTTTTACTAAAGTACCCCTCTTTCGTTAATTTTATTTTTAAAAACAAATAATTTAATTACAAAGTAGAAGTGAAATAATTACTTATAGCAAAGTTGTTATTTGCTAGTGTTAAATTTTGAAAACACTAAATTTAGAAGTTATCTCAATTAATTTATATAATTATTTTTTAAAAATAATATCGAATAAATTTAATATTTAAATTATTATTTATTGAAGGTAAATCTTTTATCATAGAAAATAAATTTTTGGATGATTAATTATATTCTCGGATAATAATAATAATAATAATAATAATAATAATAATAATAAAGTGGCTAATTAAATGGGGGAGAGCAAGCTATCTTGCATTTTGCAGTTTTTATTGCAAAAAGACAAAAACAAGTTAAATTTAAAGATCATAGATAATTTTTTTTTAGTACAAAGTTATTATCAAGCATTTTGGACACCATTAAAATGTAAATTTTATTTGACAAATTTTATAAGTTTTAAGACAAAAAAAAAATGGTATGGGGCAGAAAAGTAATTTCATCCGAGTATTTAAGAGGCACTGGTGCGCAGACGTAGATGAGGACATTATGGGCTCATATTGTAGTTGCGGCGGCCATTTTCACGCCGTCCGTACGCCCAAATTCAATAATTTTGATTGAAAAATGTCGACACTATTTCGAAAGAGAGTACTAAGAAAAACAGTGTTTCTCCACCAAAATAAAAAACAAAAGAATAAGGAGAGACATTGTATTTGCCCACATAAAATAATGCTAATTATTGAAGTTTTCCTTTTTGTTTGCTTTAATTTGTTAGCAAAAAATAAGATAAAACAATTCAATTTGAAACTCAAATGTTTGTTTTTTGTGGAAATACATTTTTTATAGTATAAAATTAATTATTCGTCTAGGGAGCAATTAAACTCATAATTAAATATTAATTTTATATTCTAAATTAATGAATTATTGTTTTTAGAGTTAGGTACATGATAGTATCACGAACTTAAAGAAAAGTCTTGAATCTCACATTGAACATAATAAGAAGGTCACTGAGGTATAAAAGGGTTCATACCACCTCTATCTTGTGAGGCGTTTTCGTATGACAAAATCATGAGGTCAGAGGGGTCAGAATGGACAATACCTCACAAGGATGCGAACCGTAGCAGAAAGGCTGATTTGAGACGCCGGAAGGGTGAATGCCCGGGTTCCGAAGCCGCGCGGATTCAAAGCTTAAGTCTCGACTTGTGACAAGTGGTATCAGGTCAACCCTAAATCGTTCGATTCACGCCAAGTACTTTGAGGCAAGTAGGTAGGGTGACCAGCTTCTGTGACGAGAGCGTCACAAGGTTGGGTGCAGGAAAATGTCACGAACCTAAGGAAGAGTCATGAATCTCACATCGAACATAATATGAGGGTTACTGAGATATAAAAGAGTTCACACCACCTCTACCTTGTGAGGTGCATTTCGTAGGACAAAACCGTGAGGCCAGGGGGGTCACCTCTGCCTTGTGAGGCGAATTGTGTGAACCGTGACAGGAAAGCTGATCTGGAATGTCGAAAGGGTGAATACCAGGATTTCGAAACCATGCGGATTCGGAGCTTAAGTCTCGACTCGTGACAATAGACAGATCAAACTAGTTTGTGCTTGTATTTTTAGTTTCATAGTCACCATATTTTATGTTTTTTTATATAACAAAGTTCGTAAATGAAGATAAAAAAATTAGAAATGTTGAAATTTGAATTAATTAAAAATATTGTCGAGTCAAATCAAATCAATAAAATAAATAGTTCAAACTCAATTTAAAATTTGATATTCGAAACTCAATCTAAATTTAATTAAGTTTTAATTTTTAAATTTTAATTCGATTCAAAATAAAAATTGAATTATTCAAATTCATTCAATTAAATTTATTTAATAAATTATAATAAAATACTTTAATTGAATCAACTAGTTGAATCAAAATCGAATCTTTTAACGGTTTAATGATCGGTCCGGTAATTAAAACGCTAAATATGTTCTTAAATACATTTATTTGATTATGAACAAAAGCTAAGAAAGAAAACATTACAAGGCTGCAAAATCTAATAAGTGCTTCTACTTAGCAGAAGGACCAAAGCAATACCTCTAGAATGGGGCTCCCAAAAGATTGCTAAATTTACAGTTTTTGTGGAAACCATGACTGGCTGTCAAAGAAGCTGTTTGTGTGCCCTACCTACAAAGATGTAAAGCAAAAATCTGTGGAGTGAAGAACATATTCATGGGGCCAAATAGATTGAGTGTGAAGCCTGTGATGAGCTCGGAAACACACCAACTGCCTGGCAAACCGACCATCAAGTGCCAGCCATGAACTTGGTACTCTTTAAATTTTCTCATTAAAAAATGGGCCCTTTTGATTCATCATGGTCTGAATTGGACTACCCATGGACCAGAATTATCCAGCTTCGGTTTGATCAAGTTGTGCACCTTCACAACTTTAGTGGGCTTTTTTTTTTAATTTTAATTTTATTTAAATTTGAATTGAATCAAAAGTATATTCATTATTCGTGTATTTATATTATATAAAATACTAAAATTTATATATTTATATTATATTTTATATAAAAATTATATGTTACAATTCTTGTTAATACGTAAAACATAAATTATACTTTATGATTTTGTTAAACTCACATATATTTATTGTTAAAATTTTAAGTTGTATTATTTTTATATTTTATTTTCGTATTATATCACCATATTATATTTTAAATTATTAAATCTAATAAAAAAGGTAAGAATGGATTAAAATTTTGAATTACTTTCTTGCATCTCCTTTATTACTATTTTAATTACTTTTTAATATTTTTTTAAATATACTAACCAAATTATGAATGTTATCATTTTATTTAGATAAATTTATATATTTTGCTCTAAAATATATTTTTAAATTTTAATTTGTATTTAAATAGAATCTTAACATTTAATTTATATTCAAATAAATTCTTAATATAAATTAATTTTTTATTTTAAGTAAAGATTTATATCAAAACAAATCAAAAGTTAAAATTTTATTTGGAGACAATAAAAATTAAAAGTTTATTTAAAAAATAAAATAATTCAAAAAAAATTTAATATTTGAACCTCTTCAAT